TCGCAGGTAAACCTTATACCTACTTGTACCTCCACAGGCACAAAACATAATCTAAGGCATGATCTAATCCACCGAACCGCCTATGCCTCTTCGACGTGAATCCTGAGCAGTGAAAGCTAACTCCCTCCCAGAGCCAGCCCGACTTACTCTCCATGTGAGGGCTACCTTGGCCTAGGCACTCAACCTCACACTTCATATGTCGGATTCCCTCCCCCACTGAGAGGTGTCGAACACTCAATACACTAACCACTTTAGTGCACTGAGCCCACAATACGTAAGACAACACTGAGTACTGACAGTGTGCCATAGAATATCAAAAATCCACACCTTCTCATTGGTGAACTCCCACCGAGATCATGCCTTTTACTCTTGTCTACCTTTCCTGAGTATTGACCATTCAACACTCTAAAGTAGTATAATATTTATAAATCTCATTTCCATAAAAACATTGTTATTAAACAATTAGAAAACATATTTGCACTATAATCAAAGTAGTACCCTATAACCCCTTATAAAGCACATTTAATCTTTTAAAACATGTAATGCATGATAACTAGTAATATTTATTCAAAAATAGCTAAAACAAAGTAATAAGAAATATAAATTCCCCTATTACCTCAACCCTTTGGTACTAAAAGGGTTCTCCTTGTATAAAATAGGGCTCGGCTTGTTCCTTACTTCTCAATAAGTTCCACCAACAATTTTCTACAACATATAAGTGATCCACATCACTTATCATGACAAATAGCATTAATGAAGACTATAACTCATACCACACAACTTAGGTCAATGAGTCATAATTCACCCTAATGGTCCATATATTAAACCAACCATTCACATAGTATCACTTAACCACCAAAACCATTTATTAGCCATCACTAGGCTAATTTTCAATTTATATAATTTTTTATCAATTAAAAACCTTCACTTAGTGTCACCAACTTTCACCATTAGCCCTTATAATGAAAACCAAACCTTAATCTAAATCTTATTGGGCTCAAATAGCAAAATTATAACTAAATCAATAGGCTTAAACCATTGAGGAGCAAAAACCCAATTTCTCAAGGTTTATTTTGTGCCCAAAACACCTCTTTTCATCCAATTATTCATTCAAAACATTAGATCACTATATAGAAACTCAAAACATGCTCCCTAGAATCCAAAGAAACAAAAGCTTACAAGAATAAAGCCTTTGGGATCAAAATCCAAAAATTTTCTCTTCCAAAAATTGAAGAAAATCAAGAGAAAGAGAAGAGGATTGAAGTAGGGAGTTTACCTATCGTGTAGCCGAGCTCGCAACGGTCGCAAAGACTCCTAAATCCAAGCCTAACTCCCTCCCTTTCTCTTCTCTTCTTCCTCTCTCCCTCTCATACGTTTCCTTTCCTTTCCTTTCCAATTCAATTTCTGCGTTTCTGCATCAATTTGGGTCTTTAAATTGCTGGTCAAAAAGTTTGGGGAAAATTATAAGAAAGGGCCCAACATTTTTCATTATTGCACAAAAGCCCGGGTCAACTTTGGTAATTTTTTCCATACTTAAAAATCAAATAAAACCAAACTTTTGCTTAGTAAAATTCAAACTCTGGGCCTCTATTAAATTATTCTAAATTTTAATTTAATTATAAATATTTTATTTTATTTTTATTTATTTATTTTTAAATAAATTTGAGTTTTAAAATTTTTAGGATGTTACAAAAGTGATCCAAAGTGCTCACACACAAATTAAACAAGCACCCCGTAATAAAATAATTGACATTGGTTTTATTAAAAGGGACCATGACCACTTAAAACCGAGATCTCAAATATTTTAGAGGGAGATACTTTAATTTTAATTGGGTTTGATAATAATCAAATCTTGACGCAGACAGGCATAACAACAACAACAATTCAAGGCTTGAGATAGAACTATTAAGAGCGATATTTATATTTAATATCTAATCACATATAAAATATAATTGCTTTTAAAAGGAGAAAACTTGTGTGCAATAAAAAATAAGTTTGAGATATTAGCAATTTAAAAACAACATACATAGGGAGAGGTAAATTTGGATAATGAAGTAAATTAGACACAATAATACCATCCAGGACCTTTTGAAAAAAAAAAAAAAAAACAAGAGGAAGAAGAAGAAGAAAAAGTGCAATAATGGAGCGGTCATGTGACGCAGAATCTGAAGACCGTAAGTGACATCCAAGAACAGAGGTTGGTCAATGCACTGAATAAACAAATGAATCCAACAAACACAAAACAAAACAAACAAAAGTCAAAACCCCTCCCAACACTCCATTCCCTCTATGACTGTCGGTTTTAACTTCATGAACGCCTCATGTTGGTCGCTTTCTGTGTTCTTTCCCAACAAAAAATGAAAAATAATACTTAAATTATTCAATGCAAACAAAGCACTTCATTGAAAAAAAAAAATCATTATAATCATCAATTCATTATCATTATAAAATTTACAACAAACTCTGTTGTCCGCCAAGGCACCAATCATAAATTATGTGATTTATTAAACAATACATGGGGAAATAAGTCTAATTATTTTAATAAATATAATTTTAGTGGATTGTATTACTACTAGTATACTTTCTTTTTTCAATTTATTAACCTTAACTATAAAACTGTCTATAAATTTCGACCAAACGGGCAAGTTGGCTTTATATATATAAGCAACTAGCAAGGCAGAATCATTAAAAAAAATCAAATATTGGAAAATAAAAAAGTTTGACCTGGTATTGTTGCTGAAAGTCAAAACACGCCGCATCTAATTTTAGAGCCTCTAGATCAGTGGCGCGATCTCTCTCTCCCTCTCTCTACGCACCTACATCACGCAAGATAGAATTAAAATAAAGACCTGGAGGGGCAAATTTCAACCTGTGTGACACATATAATTACAATAAATGAAAATATATTGATTTTTATTTTATCACTAAAGACTTCGATCAAAAGATTTGAATTCCCGTGGGAGAAGCGTCAACTATCCAACGATATTTCAAATAATATTGCACAATAAAGATTGCTATTGGCAAGAATTTATACAAGCACCATTCTTTTTATTTTTAGCTAGTTTAACTTTAACCCTGAAATGCTTTGTTTTTTGTTTATTTTCCTTTTCCCTGTACATGTATCATGAATTGAAGTCAAATGAACTAAATATAATATAACGGTATAATGGTTTTGACTATGGGGGCCGTTTGCGTAGACAAAAAGCCCATGATTTTTTTTCTGTTGTTGCTCAAATGACTTTCATCTAAATCAATGTTTTTAGTTGGAAAAATGATAATTAAAAATTTTTTAAGAACATTAATCTTAATTAAAAATTATAAATTTTTGAAATCTTAACTATGGTCCTTAATTAAAATAAAAAAATGTAATTTGTGATGTAGGATTTACTAACTCTATTTAGAGATTCACTAATCCAATTTAAAAAAATTATTAATGTATATTGTGAAAACATAAAACCTCACTTGGGAATCGATTATGTAACAAAGAGTGCCACTTGAAAATTCATTAACCTGACTTGAAAAAATTTCTAACGTATATTGTGAAAATATGAAATCTCATTTAAAAATTGATTATTTAACAAAAAACGTCATTTGAGAATTCACTAACCAGACTTAAAATAATTTCTAACATATATTTATCCCACTTGAAAATTGATTATTTGACAAAAAGTCACTTGTCCAAATTGGATTTTTTTGTTAAATAATCGATTCCCAAGTGAAGTTTCATATTTTCACAATATACATTAAAAAATTTTTCAAACCAGGTTAGTAAATTTTTAAGTGGTGTTTTTTGTTAAAAAATTAATTTCTAAGTGAGATTTCATATTTTCACAATATACGTTAGCAATTTTCTTAAATTGGGTTAGTGATATTAGTAAATCCCATCTCATAAGCTATATTTTTTTTATCCCAATTAAGAAACATGGTCCTTCAATGAAATTTTAAAATTTTATTATCCTTAATTAAAATTAATGTTTGTAGAGGATCCTTAATTATCATTTTTCCTTTTTAGTTCCTCCCTTAATGCCTAAATAAATTAATTGATTTAATAAAGGCAGCCAATTCCCAATAGAAGCCTAATTGGGCTGGATTGAGCGCAGTTACATTTGCCAAGAAATGGGCCGATGCTTAAAGGTCCTACTCTAATATCACAACTTATGTTTCCAGTCCAAAACAGGTTTAACGATTCAGGTAAAAGGCCTAGCCAAAGTCGGGCCCACGAAGGGATCAAGGACATAGTGGGTATATATTTTGCCGAACAAAATCATATTCATATTTATTTCAACGGAAGTTGCAAATATTAGTAAGGATTTTGTTCTTAGTCACAAGATCGTCAACTCACTTAAACTTTCATTAAAAAAAAAATTGCAAAGGTTGGTTAAAAAGAGTAAACAAAACTATCACGGCAATTGTTAGCTTAATGGGCCAATTTTGTCATTGAAAATATTTGGAAGGAAGGAGAGCAACCTATTAACACAATGACCAAAATATTTTTAGTTAATTCCTTAATAACAAAATTATCCCTAAAAATGTCCTGAGTTATTTTGTTTTCAATTGCAAATTACTGTTATCTATATCTTGTTATTAATGGGTTTTATGAAACAGTGTTTTTTTCAACGTTTTGGTAATACATACACTATATTCTCTGGTTTGATCTAAACAATTTAATTAATTGGAAGAACTTGCACAAGTTGCTGAAAAAAAGAAATGGATTCTTGTATAGTTTTATAAGTCATTTCGTGCAAGTCTGGTCTGCCGGCTGCTATTTCTATATTTTAAACTAAAGAAAATCACACTCAAGAACTGTTAAAATATGTTATTTGTAAACAAGAATTAATAATAAGTTACTGTTTGAAAAAAAAGAGTCCTTGTTCTTGTTTTTACAACAATAAATTATTTATTAAGCCTTATCTATTAATAATATTCTTTAGTAGATTGATCCTTCTAAACCAAGTGAATATTAAAACTCCACTACTCTTGTCGTGGAAGCAGATTGACGAAGATTTAATCAAATCTTCCCGTGTAAAATTGGATCATGCGAATCTGAACAACAAGTGGGGGACAAATTCGACTTTTATTAATTTCAAAGGAACATGCATATGCCTCGCAAAGCTAGAAGAGGAACAAACCGCCATATTTGTTTTCCCCCGAGCTCGAATATTTAGAAACCCGCCGGCCGCACGCGTAGCTAGCTAGCAGCCTCATCAAAATCCTAATAACATGGCAATCGCATCAGCAGTGTCAAAAACGACGACGGAGACGGCGAGGGAGGTGACGGAATTGGCGGCATCGACGACACCAGTGGTGATCTTCAGCAAGAGCTCTTGCTGCAGGAGCCACGCCATCAAGACGCTATTCGTAGGCTTGGGTTTCAACTTTACGGTTCATGAGATCGACAAGATGCCCGGAGGCAGTGAAATCCAGCAAGCCCTTTCACGGCTTGGATGCAGCCCGCCGGTGCCCGCGGTGTTCATCGGCGGCCACCTTCTAGGTGGAGCCAACGAAGTCATGAGCCTTCACGTCTCCAATTCCCTGATTCCAATGCTTCGCCGAGCAGGCGCTCTTTGATTTTATGTGTGTGTGTGTGTGTCTGTATTTTCAGCTTGATTGGTCTATATGCGAGTGTGAAAGGGTAAGATTCAAACCCACATCATGATAAGAAAACTATATGCAATAATTGAGGACAAATTAGTGGGTTTCTAATCCTTTGTTCAATGTTCAGCACGTATGGTATATTTTTAGTTAGATATAATTGATTATAAAAATTTTTATTAATATGATTAATTTTGAATATAATTGATTATGTTATGTGATATATATAATTAGTTTATAAGATTGATTTTATTTAGAATTGAAAAGTAGAATTGAAAAGCATAATTAAAAATAAGGTAAAATATAGTTTTGTGAAAATATATCCAAATACCCTTATTACATGTTAAAATTAATTATGAATTTAAAATTATAATTTTTTTAAAAAATATCAAAACACCTCTATGCACGCCAGAATTAATTATAAATTCAAAATCCTTTTAATATTTTAAAATATTAAAATTTTAAAATATTTTTAATCTTTATAATTTTATTTTTTAAAATATAGGGACCAATATTTAAAAGGTTAAAATTTTAAGGACTAAATTGTAAGAGATAAAGTTTAAATACTGATTTACAATTAAGTCAAAACTTCAAAAACTAAATTATAATGAGTTAAAGTTCAGGGATTGAATTACAAATAGGTTGAAATTATAAGGACTAAATAATTAATTTTTTTAAATTAAAAAGTAGAATTGAAAATAAGGTAAAATATAGTTTTTTAAAAATATATCCAAATACTCCTATTACATGTTAAAACCAATTATGAATTCAGAACCATATTTTTTAAAAAATATCTAAACACTCACTATATATGTTAAAATTAATTATGAACCTAAAACTATGATTTTTTTTAAAAAATATCCAAACACCCCCATACATGCCAAAATCAATTATGAATCCAAAATCACGATTATCTTATAAGCTACTATTATTTGCTTTTCAATTCATATTTTTAATTATACTTTTTTAAAATTTATCCAAAAATCATATAAATTATTGTACAAATAATATTTTTGGGTTTATAATTAATTTCAACATATATAGAGGTATTTGAATATTTTAAAGAAAAACATAATTTTAGGTTCAAAATTGATTATGGCATGTGTTAAAAATTAATTTAATTAAGCAGCACCAGATAAATTTTAAAGCTTTCATATTTGTATTCAAATTAAAATTGATAATATAAGTCAACCCGCAACTCGTAGGTTGGTCTGCAGTGGGTTGTGGGTTTCATGGGGTGGGTTGGTATAACCCACATCTTATGCGAGTCATAAATGAGCTGACCCGCTAATCCACAGTGAGTTCGCAAGTTTGCGAGCTAACCCACTAGTAAAAAATATTTTTTTAATGTTGAAAATTATAAATTCATCTCTCAAATCTTTTTGTGATAAAACCATGTAACCAAACACACTATAAGGGGGGAAATTTACTTAACATGTTTGGTCTGAGGAGGAATGGGAGTGAGTGAGGGAAAGGAAGGGGAAAAAAATAGAGAGATGAGGTGAAAATTTTTTTTTCCTCCTCCCTCCTATATATTTTCTTCATTAAGTTTTGGGCCCATCTTTATATTTTCTAAATTATCATTATTAAAATTTATCTTTCCATTTCTAAAAACTAAACAGACTAAATGAATTTGAATTAGTGATGGCTGAATACTGCAAGATAGTTTGTTAGAAAAAGATAAAAATTGATTGTCAGTGAATATTTTGAAAATGTAAGTTATATTAAAAATAATATAGAATATTAAGTTGTTATTATTATTATTATTTGCATCTACTATTCCATGTCTTTGATTTAAACTAATTATTGCAGTAATATTTTTGGAGGGCATGCACGTCTCATTAAAAATTTAATCATTGTTATATATTTAAAATTTGAATAATATCTTTTTTACTAAGTTGGATCAATCTTTTTATTATCAGGTGGTCAAAGTACATCCTGGTAATATTATTATATTTATGTTGCATGGTGTGAGATGTGATCTGAATTGTGATTTGTCAAAATGTGAATAAATAGGGAGGGCCAAAAATGATGATGGAATGATCACCACAAGGAAAAACAACCAAGTGTGAGTGAGTCTCTATGTTTTTTTCTTTTTTAATAATAAGCAGGTCAACCTGTAGGTTAATCATGGATTCAAATAATGTGACATGGGTCAAATCAGACCTGCATAAAAAATGAATATGCTTTTTTGGTTTTTTCTAACTTAACATATTCATTTTTGTGGGTTGGCGGATTGAGCTCAATTACCTACTTTAATCCAGATATCTTATAAATAAATTTTCATATTTTAAATATCACCTTCGGATTTTTCTTGAGCGAGTCTTAATCTTAATAATTAATATGGAGCGTCGCATATGGTACTAAAAAAAAAAAGTCTCTTACTGGTCATTCGTCATTTTAGCAAAGAATCCTGCGGTCTACGAACCAGCATTATAATGTGCAATGGAAAAAGGAAAAAGAAAAGAAACAAAAGCAAAATCCTATACTTAATGAAGTGTGTGTGTTTGGATTAGAATTGGCCAAAATTTGGTTTTGGCAGAAGGAGTAATACAAAATCCTACAAAAAGATATTATATAATTAATTAACTTTAAGACAGGGAGAGTGAGTTGTGCGCGCGCGCGCGTCTTATGCTCGGTTCATTATTTAATATAAGCAATATAAAACTGATCTTAGACACGCACGTATTGAGTATGGGAGCGACCATAAATTTATACTATGATCAAGGGCGGAACCAGAGCTCCAGGTTAGAAGGAGATCAGAGATTTCTCTACGAAAAATATGAATCAAAGTTTGAAGAAGGGGAAGTATTCAATCACATAGTTTCGACTTCTAGAATATGACGCCCTTGGACCTTCTATTTGATTGTATCGAAAGGCCTAATGAATTGAAATTTTTTTATTGAGCCAGGTCATTTCGTCAATTATATATCATTTAACTTTTTATTTTAAATATTTATTATTAATATATATTTAAAATAATTTTAGGGATAATAAAATTTTTAATTTTTTAAATTTATTTTAATTTTCAATTTGATTTTTTAAGTACTTAAAATTTTATAACCACACAAAATTAGTCCTTTTTAAAGGGGAAAATAAAATATGAGATAATTTTGTGTAATATAAAATTTTTAGTACTTAATTGGTAGAATTTAAATTTCAAAAATTAAACTGATAACTAAGACGAATATAAAAAATTAAAAGCTTCATTGTATCATAAAGAGGGGACATGTGCAAGTGAAAGAGAAAAGGAAGACATAATTATTAGAGACAAGGGGTGAAGCCAAAAGTGAAAAAAATAAGAGGCCAAGGCAGTACTTTTACTCTCCGTTGATCTACTCGCTCAGGTCCCAAGCCTCATATTTCCGTGTTAAAAAAAAAAAAAAAGGAAAACAAAACAAAATAAAAAAAAATCTTGGGGTCAAGGTAGGTCCGCCCCCGACTTTGGCATTGAACGGCTTTGGAGTTCAAACGAAATAAATTAGTATGTGTTTGCCAAAATAAAATTCATACATATTAGGGGTAATGGAACAAATGGGTCTCTAAATTATAAATTTAAAAACATTTAAAATTTTAAATTCATTTTTGATATAATATTTTTTTTTTAAATTTTAACTTTAAAAATAATACAATCTAACCCCTTGTCATTAATAAAAGTTTACTTAGTTGTTAATTAACCAAAAATTACCAAAAGAGGATCAATAAAATTTTGTTGGTTCTTTTTTGTAATTTTTTGTATTTCTTGTATGTAATTTTTTTTATTTTTTACTATAATTTTTAAATTAATTAATTATTAAAATTAACTTTGACTTATGGCAGGAGTCATATTACATCACGCTTAAAAGTTAAAGAGAAATATTATATCAAAAGAGAATTTAAAATTCTTGACGTTTATCACTATTAGAAAAATTAGAATTAGTGATGGATTGAGAATCTATCATTATATATATAATTATTGACGGAATAGTGGTAGGAGTAAAAATATGTTATTATTTTATCAAAATATCCAAATTTAACAACAAATTGATTTCCATCACTAATTTCCGTCACTCTAATATTATGATTAATGACAAATTCAGTGGTGAAGCCACACACAGGGAGAGGTAAATACACTCCCTCACATCTAGAAAATTACATTTGGGGCATATAAAATTTACAATCTTGCACCCTAGTTTCAAAATTTTGCAAAATAAAATCCAACCATGTCAAATTAAGTCATCTTTTTAGGTAAAATATTTTTTTTCAAATTTAAACTCTATAACAATTTTTTAACACATTTTTGCCCAAATAAATTTCAATATATTTTTTCCAACAAAAAAATATGCATAACTTTACTTATGTTATTATATTTTTTTGTCTAATGTAATTATTTTTTAAAATTATCATATTATTTTTTAAATTGAGTTGTCTCATACCTTCTAACTTTGGGTCTTAGCTCCGCCACTAGATGGATTGATGACAAACACAATACTCTCTCTATATAAAAATGTAAGGCATTTTTAATCAAAATATACCTTTTAATAAAATAGTTTCTTATTTTCAAACTAATATTATCTTTTCATATTAATCTTTATTTAATAGGATGTTTCACTTTAAAATAAATATAAAGTGATTTATTTATCAGGAATACTTTTGAAAAAAAAACATATAGTAATTACATCTTGAAATGATGAAAATGCCTTATATTTTTAAATATACAATCTTTCAAAAAATACTTTACATTTTTTAATAGAGGGTAGGGTCATCCAAAAATTCTCTAGTCCGATCCGACCCAATCTAACCTGAGATGGTCCTATCTTGTTCGGTCCTTATAAACACTGATCCTTTAGGATCAAAAAGATTAAAAAAATAAGACTATTTTTTTAGGTTAGACTGGATAAGAGATTATGCATCTAAGTCACTTAATCCAATCTGATTCTATTAATTTATTTAATATAATTATAATTAATTTTTTTATGAATGCTTCAAGTATAATTGACGGCAAGGAGATGATTGCATAAAGATTTATTAAATTAGTTTTTAAATTGTTGTTGTAATGTAGTATTGTTGAAATTTGTTAAGTGTTATTTTTATTGAAGTTATAAATTTAAATCATTTAAACTGTAACTAAAAATTTTTCTTCTTGTTGG